AGTATAGTGAGAAAGTGTACAGGAGAGGACAATATATTTGACATTTTTACATTAAGGGAAGAACCAGGAATCATTTAAAAATAGCCACTTTCCCATTTAGACACTATCTTATTTCTTACTATTTTATACCACCTACTAAGTACACATAAATAAAATCTAATATTTTAATATTAATAATTAATTTATCAAGTAATTTAGATAATACATTATTAAATAAGTGATTAAAAAACAAAATTATTTTTATACATTAGAAATCGACGTAGGCCTAATTTTAATGCGTACATACAGAACAATGCGTAAAAATACAGAACAAAATTACACGCGTTATCTACTCGCACTAATTTTTCATACAAACGGAAAAGAACGTTCATCATCATAGCAGAACAAACAACAGAATCACATACACATAGAGTGATGCACTAGACATGATTATGTTCATATGATGATATTGTACATTTATACTTCCAGGTAAGACATTTTGTTTTAGTTTTGTTTTCTAAACATTAATTACCGTACTTGTGCGAATAAGCGCCTGGGTGCTTAAAATATTTTTTGCACATTCTGAGGGGCGCTTATTCAAACGGGGCGCTTATGAAAACAGAGTGGAAATTGAGGGGGCGCTTATGGAAATAGATGAAAATCGTGGGGTTCTTATGGGAAATTATTAAATTCAAGAGGCAATGTTTGAATGAAAAAATATTATTTAAGGACATTATGATTGTTGGTTAGGCGGAAAAGATAATCGTTCAGAGAACATGGCTCATGACAAAAATGTGTGAATATTTACATAACAGCAAAATATCAGGTGCAATTAGTGGTGGTGGGTAGTGGTTAGCTTGTTGGCCATCGGCCAATTGAGATTAGCAGTATGGCAGGATCATTGTATTTTTTTCTTGAAAACTCAGATGAGAATGTGCTAAAGGTCGGAAAAGGAAAAAGAGGAGTAGGACTAGGCATAGACAAATATATATTAGAGTAAAGTTGGAAATCTGTCTGTCCAAGGATCGGAGCTTTCACTCTGCAGCTCAAATCGTGCCCACAACCACAGTCCCAGGATTGATTGGATTATTGACTTGCTAAAAAGAAAATCTTATGAGGGGCACTTATTCAAATTAGAAGGGGCGCTTAAGGAAATTTTTTACGTTGGGAGGAGCAGTTATTGAGAGGGGCGCTTATTCAAACGGGGCGCTTATTCGCGCGAGTACGGTATTCTTTATTTAATATAAAAAGATTTTGGAAACCACTTAAGGTCCGATTCGATTTTGAATTATGAAAAGTGTAGGCTGTGGCAACGAGACCTCTGACGATAAGTGCCAAAAATTGTTTACAAAAACGTAATGCAATAATAGCATATTGACTGTTATATATTTTTAGAAAATATTTCAGCCGCTCCAAATATCTCTTTCCTATTCTTCCTTCTTCCTTTATTCTTTCACAATTTTTGCATTTTATTCATATTTTTCATAATTTTTTACACTCACATATAGTCACTTGTTTAGGCCTAGCCTAGGCTAGACCTCGGCTATGCCTATAACTATATTATTTTAATATACAATTTTATAGATAATATTAATTTAACATGGACATAGTAATTCATACTTAAAACAATACACTAAATTTAAATGTTAATATAATAACATTAACGAAAAAAAAACAATAAATAAAAATGTGTACATAGTATCAGAATAATAAGATTAATATTTTCAATCTTATAATCAATTTTATATAGCCGGAGTTAGTATTGTCCTAGGCTACTATGGCTAACGACAGGTACGCTTTCTCCAGTAATAGAAGGCTTTTTCTATGAATGGAATGACCTGTACGAAACACAAACTCCTGTAGACTAAACCCAGTACCATTACGATTTTAATCGTGCAAGAAATATCCTCAAAAAAATGCCCTCATTTTTTTTATATTTGTCAAAACCTATCAGCAGTGCAAATGGTAAATGCTATATTTAAAATTATTTTTAGCCCATTTTTTATTCATATTTGTAAGTTGTTTTGTGAGTTGTCAAAAAATTATGTCCTCTCCTATTCATCTCTCATCTCTCTGGCATCCTTATACCAAAGAAAATGAACAGCTGCATATATGTTGCACTAATTTTAAGCCTGTTTTTTTTTTTTTGCCCTTAAAAATATATATGGATACATAAAAGCTTCTCAAAATATTTTGTCAGTATAGAGCATTTGAGTATGCTGGTTATAATTGAGGTAAATATTTTACAATTTCACTGTCAAAATGTTGTTATTTTTAACTTTTTTCACTAATTCTAGTGATACTCATTTAAAAAAATAAGAAATCCTTAACAGTAAGTACTAACTTCTTTTATATTTTTATTTAACTGTTTTATTAGCACAGTACAACTATTTTTATACTGGGTTACGATGGGCTATGGGTGTGTTATATTTAGGAATAGAAAGAAATCCTGAGGTTTTTTTTAATAAACAGGCAGCTGGGTCAAATAGTGTGATTTTGAAAAATGTTCCCTGATTGTGAAACAGCCCATTTGAGGCATGTTGTGGCGAAATGGTAAAGTTGTTGCACAGTCCAGTATTGAGTAAATGAGCTATAAAATATGGGAGCTCAAAATATTGATAAAAAATCCAAATTTGTTTTTCACTATAGGTCAACAGTTTAATGTCTTATTAATCATGTCCCAAAGTATTAGTTCTAGAAGTGGTTAACAAATTGTTTATTTAACGTTATTTTTCATAGTTCATTCTATTAAACAATGTATGCACAAATAACTTTGAAAGGCAATTACTCAAAATCCTGTTTATCTTGACTCTAAGAGTACTGTACTTTCACTTTCCAATAACTTAGGTTTGAAATGTCCAATTTGAATGAATGACCCCTCATTTTAAAGATCACATACGGTACTCAGGTATTTGAAAATACCAATAACTTGAATATAAATTTTTGCTACAACTAGCCATTTTGCCACAACATGCCTCATTTAACCTGAAACATTAACCTGAAACATTAACCTGAAACATTAAACTCTCCTACTGTATTCATCTCTCTGGCATCCTTATACCAAAGAAAATGAACAGCTGCATATATGTTGCACTAATTTTTAGCCTGTTTTATCAAAAAGTATTGTTTTAACCTGAAACCTTACACTCTCTTATTCATCTCTTTGGCATCCTTATACTAAAGAAAATGAACAGCTGCATATATGTTGCACTAATTTTAAACCTGTTTTATCAAAAAGTATTGTTTTTTTTTTTGTTACCCTTAAAAATATATATGGATACATAAAAGCTTCTCAAAATATTTTGTCAATATAGAGCATTTGAGTATGCTGGTTATAATCGAGGTAAATATTTTACAATTTCACTGTCAAAATGTTGTTATTTTTAAACTTTTTTTCACTAATTCTAGCGATGCTCATTTAAAAAAATAAGAAATCCTTAACAGCAATTACTAACTTCTTTTATTTTTTTATTTAACTGTTTTATTAGCACAGTACAACTATTTTTATACTGGGTTATGAAGGGCTATGGGAGTGTTATATTTAGGAATAGAAAGAAATCCTGAGGTTTTATTTAATAAACAGGCATCAGGGTCAAATAGTGTGATTTTGAAAAATGTTCCCTGATTGTGAAACAGCCCATTTAACCTTTCTTGAGTTCGGGAAAAATACATAAAACATTTAAAAATGTTAGATGTAACGACAATTATAGAAACAAAACATGATATGATGAGAAATCAAAATCAGGTGAAAACGAGGCTAATCACTTTTTTTCAGGAGCTTGAAACTCATTAATATTCATGTCAGTCTGTCAATTTCGGCAAGCAGCTGATCAAGAAATAATCCCGATGATCGAGCGACTATCCTATAGACAATTAATATAGTGTGAAGACGCAAGTTTTTGTGATCGTTATACGTATGCAGTAACATAGAGAGGGCTTAGTCGACGTCAATTCAATCATGGAGGAATACTGTAATTCAATTGAATTAATAATGTATATCAGTCCGATGGCAATTGTTTGTATATATAATTAGGCCTACACCTATGCAGGGGGAGGGGCTTAAGCCCCCCCCCCGTCGGCCAAAGCTCGTCGGGCAGTTCGACCAAAAGAAAACAAAAAATAGGCCTAGTTTTCCCATCGCAGCCATTTCCAGCCATCTAGAAGTCCCAATTTTTAAAAATAAACCTGTTTTGGGAGGAGGGGACATCCCCATCCCATACCCACCCCCGGCTTGGGCCTTTGGCCCTCAGATAACGCTGCGCACTATAGTTACATCCATAAATACTTAGCCCCCCCCAGGCGGACATCTTAGCCCCACCATAAATAATATCCTAGAGCCGCAACTATTATAACTATAGCTATGGCTATGCCTACGTTAAACACAGTCAATGCAAATTTTCCGTTAGGATGTTCACCCTCTGGCTGACTACTACCGGTTCTCTTCAACTTAGCGGTGCGATCTTTCTTGTTGAGTACTACGGGAGGTTGTTTTGATCTGTAACCACGTGACTGGATATTTGCTGACGAACTGCAAGAAAATGAAAAATAAAATGGGGTTAA